AAGGTTCAAGCTTTCATTTACTTGGTTTAGCCATGGAAGTTTGATTACTTGTAACTTCGATTTTGTAGATAATAGCAATCTTCAACAATGGAAACAAAGTACAAACTCAGATATTGCAAACAATTTGTTTACATATGAAGATTTGGCTAAAGCAACTGATAACTTCTCAAACAATAACCTAATTGGACAAGGTGGGTTTGGTTATGTTCATAGAGGTGTTCTTTCCGATGGAACTAAGGTTGCGGTTAAACAGCTTAAAGCGGGAAGCGGACAAGGCGAACGCGAGTTTCAAGCAGAGATTCATATCATTAGTAGAGTTCATCATAGGCATCTTGTTTCGCTTCTCGGTTATTGTATAATCGGATCTCAAAGGTTTCTTGTTTACGACTTTGTGCCTAATAAGACTCTCGAGTTTCATTTGCACGGTGAGTTTAAGTTTAAACTTCGTTGCTGCGATGAAATGGCGTGTGTGAATTCGTAAACTATTGCAATGTTTTGTAGAGAAAAGAAGACCGGTATTGGAATGGCGAAAGAGGATGAAGATTGCTTTAGGTGCAGCTAAAGGATTGGCATACTTGCATGAAGATTGTGAGTAATGTTTTGGGTTTTAGAACATTTGTTTTTCCAAAATTTGGGTTTTTAGAATATTTGTTTCTTGTTTGATTTCAGGTAATCCTAAAACAATACACCGCGATGTTAAGGCTGCCAATATACTAATCGATGATAGCTTTGAGGCGAAGGTAATTCATTCATAAACTTTTGCGAATCTACGAAGATTTTCATTTCAAGTTCACTACTTAATAATTTTTGAATATGATTCATCAGTTAGCGGATTTTGGACTCGCCAAGTCTTCTTTAGACACCGATACTCATGTTTCCACTCGGATAATGGGAACATTCGGGTAATGAAACACTCTTTCTATTATGTCATCAACCTTAATGGTGTTTAGACTTCATTCTTGTGATGCAGTTACTTAGCTCCTGAATATGCTTCTTCCGGGAAACTAACCGATAAATCAGATGTCTTTTCATTCGGAGTGGTGTTGCTTGAATTGATAACCGGACGTCGACCTGTTGATAAATCACAACCTTTTGCTGATGATGATAGTATCGTTGATTGGGTAAGTAATCTACTAATCTTGTTTCAATCCATTAACGTCAAATCCTCAACTTCAATTATCTTATAATTTTTCCCCTCATGCTCTAGGCCAAACCTCTGATGATACAAGCTCTAAACGATGGAAACTTTGACGGTCTTGTTGACCCAAGGCTAGAGGATAACTTCGATATCAGCGAAATGTCGCGAATGGTTGCTTGTGCTGCTGCTAGTGTCCGCCATTCAGCAAAACGTCGCCCAAAAATGAGTCAGGTACTATCAAATTGAAATCTCAACATTTAACCTCACACTACTATGATTAAAAACCAATTAAGGATCATTATTTCTCTTTGGACAATTGCAGATAGTTCGAGCATTTGAAGGAAATATATCTCTAGATGACCTAACCGAAGGAGTCACTCCATGTCACAACACTATCTACAGTTTAGACGATAGCTCGGATTATAGCTCAACACGATATAAAGAAGACTTGAAGAAATTCGAGAAAATGGCATTTGAAAGCCAAACATTTGCTAGTAGCGAGTGTACCGGTTTGACCACTAGCGACAATGGTCAGAACCCATCAGGTACTTCCTCCTCTAGCATCATCATTGAAGGTCAACATGCAACGCAAGAGATCGAACCACAGAGACAATAACTTAAACAACAGAGGATTCTTGGCATAAAATCCAGCACTTTGTGGTAGGTTAGGTTAAGTGTAAACACATTTTTGATTTTTTTTTTTTCATTACACGCACTTTCACTTTATTGTCATGTGTGTCTCTCTAATTATTAAAACTTTCATGAGCCTAATCTTTTCACGTGAGTACTATTTATTGGAGAATTAGTCAACAAAATTTATTGAGTTTGGTTTGAAGATATTTTATAGGCTTTTATGATTCTTAATTTTTTTTGGCCTTGCTACATCTTTTTTTGTTTTTTATGATTCTTTTTTGGTCCATGTATTTTTTAAGAAAAGTAAACATCACATTAAATAAATAAATATGTTATATTTTTTTTAAAAATATCACAATCACGGCATTACACACACCATAGATTCTACTCCCTCCGTTTCATAATATAAATTATTTTAGAGATTTTTTTTTGTTTCAAAATATAAATTGTTTTGACAATCATATGTATTTTTTTAACTTTATTGAATATTGTGTGACCAATAGTATTTTGCAGTCCTTTTTATAATGAGAAATTTCAAAAAATACCACTTTACAAAAATGCCACTTTTTCAAAA